GAGGGGCCTCGGTCGGGCTCCGCACGCACTCGTTCAAGGATGGCGCAAGGGCGGGCCCCTGGGTTGAGCAGGGGCCGACCGTCCCGGCATTCCTATAGTCCTACCACAAAATGTTCTTGGAACCCGAAGATGTTCTACTAACAGAAACAGTGTCCTTAGACCATAAGCCCGATGTGTGTTAAAACAAGACAACCTCAACCAGACATGTTCGAAGAGCATTTCGTGGAAACCACAGAAGGTTCTCAGAACATTGTTTGGTAGGGCTATAGGCGAGCCAGGACGCTTCGCCACTGCTTGATGGGTGGGAGCCGCCTCGCCAACAGACGCGTTCGCCCTCGCGCTCCAGGGGATCGGTTTTGGACGCCGCTGTCTGCTCCAGCAGTGCCCTGCGACCCAGGGCGCGAGATCGACGTGCCTCGACTGGGGCCAGCCTATGTCAGGGAGCTTAGTGGGCCCCGGAAGCGGCAGGGCCGTTTTGTCATCGTTTCCGGAAAAGTGTCCCTTGAAAATGGAAACGGCAAAAAACGGCGACCGGAAACGGCAACAAAGACGGCTCCAGGATTGGAACCGGAGCGGGAACCCGTAAAAGAACGGCGACGGAACCGGTGAAAAAACGGGTTCGGAAGCGGCAGAAAATCAGCAAGGAACCGGGAAAAAAACGGCCCTGTCGTTTCCAGGGCCCACTAAGGCCCTGCCTGTGCCCCGTGCGGTCACCTCGACGGCTCGATCTGGCCTACGGCAGGTCCGTGTCGTGACGACCCCAGCGTTGGTTTTTAACACCGCAGGGATCGTTCAGCCTTGAACGATCGGCCGCTGCCGCAACGTCCGATCGTTCAACATCGATCGATTCTGGGTCGCCGGCGGCATTCAACCTTGAACGCCCGCGCTGGGGTCGCCGCTGGTCGACACGACGCAAACCTACCGTAGGTATTATGAAGGAGATGCCCTGTCTAGTAGACGTCGGGACTTGGTCTCGGTTGGTTCCAGCAGGCGCGCCCGTCGAGCCAGTGACCTCGGGTTTTGAGTCTGGGGAGCTCTTCGCGCGAGCGATCTTTCCGAATCCTTCGGCTTTTGCTTCGGTTTCGGGCCCCCGAGCAAACGATCCACTGGCGCCGCCGCCCAGCCAGTGGGTACATGACGGGTCTCCTTTTCAAGACGGGCCAGGTCTCTGGGCTGATGTGCCTGAGCTGGCGAGGGCTGGCTGGGCTGTTGTGATGCGCGGCCCCTTGGGGCAAGTCCTGGCTGCCGCCTACGGGCCCGTCCCTCTCGACGCCGCCCCTCGCCAGACGGCGAGGGACGGGGAGGACTACGCAGTGCGCGTGCTGACTCAGGTTGCCTTGACCCGGTTTGACGTGCACTGCGACTGCACAGGTACGGTCCAGACTTTGAACAAGAGTCCTGGGGCGGGATCAGGGACCGACAATACCAGGGCCAACATGTGGGGCCCGTTCTGGGCCGCCTTTTCCAGTAATGTTTTCGTGGCCTACAAGACGAAGGCCCACTGTAGCATGACGGATGTGTATAGTGGAGTGACCACGTTGTGGGAGAAGCATGGCAAAGATGCGGCAGACGAGTTCGACAAGAAGGGTGGGAGTCTGCACGGTGTCGAGGCTGAGCACGTGCATCTCTGGCGTGGCCTCGAAACATGCTGCTGCGAGGCCGCGAGCTGGACAGGCAAAGTTCATGCGTGAGTCGGGGACGGGGAGGTGGGTCGGGACCATGACGACGTCGGCGAGGCATGGGCGGAGAGAGGTGAGGCTGAGGAGCCCCCCCTTGCCACCGCCCAGCAGCCTCAGACCTCCCCACATGCTTCGTTCAGGAGCCCTCTAGCCGATGGCTGGGATGAATCCGCTGACATGGGCTACTGGTTCAACGGCCACCCGCTCCTCTTCGCTCAAGTTACGGCGCGTGATGGGCGAGAGAATGGCCGCGCTGTTTGTTTCTGTTGTGGGCGTGGAGCCTACTTCGCGGGTTCCCAGCCCACGAGGGCCCTGCTGCGGCCTTGCTTGTCTTAGGGAGAACGCTGGGGCGGGTCTGCAGCCTCACCTCCGTCGGCTGCGGGCGCGACGGTGGCCAGCGTGTGAGGCAAGTGCGAAGGACCTTGTGCTGGAAGCACCTGTTGATGGAGTCCCAACCGGAAGTCCACGTGCGCCTGGCCCAAACATCTACCTCCGAGGTGCTCGCCCGTGACGACCCCTCGGAGCCCCCCCGGGGGGGGGCCTGCCCTCCGGGCGTGGCCCTCCCGTCCCTGCGAGCCCCTGGGGGGGCCTCCCGTCGGCCCCGAGGGGGGGCCGCGCCCCTGGGTCGGGGCGGGGCCCTCCTCCTCCTCCTCCTCCTCCTCCTCCTCCTCCTCCTCCTCCTCCTCCTCCTCCTCCCTCCTCCTCCTCCGTCGGACGGGCCGAGGGCGGGTGTACCCTGCGTGCGTTCGGCCTCGCCGAGGCCGAGCTGGCCTCGGCGGCGGCGCGCGGCGCACGCCTCCGTTCCTCGGATGCGCAGGGCGCGGCGCCGGACGCCTCCGCCTCCGGGGCGTCCGATTGGGAGGCCGAGAGGGCCGACCTTGACCGCCTGCAGGGCTCTGTCTCATCTCATCACCTCCTCCTCCTCCTCTTCCTTCTTCCTTCTCCTCCTCCTCCTCCTCCTTCTCCTCCTCCTACCCCACCTCCACCCTTGCCTTCTTCCTCCTCATCATCCTCCTCTTCATTCTCCTCCTCTTCCTGCCCTGGCCAATTTCGGCACACCCTTCACGCGCCTCGTTTCTCCATACCGCCCACTCAGAGTGCCTGAGCGGGCGTGTTCGCATGGCATCGCCCCGCCCAATCCGGTACACCGCTCACATGTATCCTGCTCACCGGTGAGCTTCACCGAGGGCCTCAGTGGGTGTGTTTGCATGGTGTCGCCTCGCCCATTTCGGCACATCCCTCACGCGTATCATGCCGCCCAGGGCAGAGCTCCCCCGAGGGCCCGTAAACCTGCGTTCGCGTGGCGTCGCCCGCCCATTTCGGCACACCCCTTACGCGCTTCGTGGCCCCCAGGGAGCTCCATCGACGGCCCCAGTGGGTGTGTTCGCATGTCGTCGCCGCACCTACTTCGGAACAACCCTCACAGATTTCCTGGCCCCCAGGGAGCTCCTTCGAGGGCCCCAGTGTGCGCTTTCGCATGGCATCGCCCCGCCCCCCACACCCCTCAGACATTTCCTGCACCCCAGGGGGCTCTACCGAGGATGTCAATGGATGTGTTCGCATGGCGTCGCCCCGTCCATTTCGGCATACCTCTCACGCGTTTCATGTGGCCCTCACGCACACCAGTGGTCATTTGCCGCATGTTGTTATGGAATGTCTGCGTATGTTTTAAAGGGCGTCGCAATCGCTAAATTTGAAAATGGGCTCCCCTGCGCATGCCAGACTCCGCGTCGCGTTCATTATCATTCTCTCCATTGCGAGTCGATCTGTGAGAGTGCATGTGTGAATAGGGGACTTCGTTCGCGGTCTGACCGTCTTTAGCGAGGTTATCGGGGACATTGATCATTCAACGTGCCATTGTGTATTGAGCCGCCCAGTGTATACCAAACTAACTGACGGTCTCGGGGCCTCGGCCGAAAACCTTCCACCGTGATCTGCTACACCCCCCGGACATCTCGCAGGGCCCCTTCTGAACAGGATTCCGAAGCGAATTCAGTCCAGCCGAGGAGTCCAACAAAAGCGACGACGAGGCAAATGCAGCGGGTAGCAGCATCGGTATCTTTTTCCCCTCGGAGACGTGGAAGCAGCAGAGCGGTGAGAGAGGAGAGCAGTACTATTTTTGGAAATTAGAGGGGGATAGGAGGGCGGTAGGAGGGATGTGACGAGGAGGTGTGGGAGTCTCCCCCTCTGCAGCGTGAGCGAACCCTTAAAGTGTCGCAAGTTTTATGACCTTCCTCTTTTTTGGTGTCGCGTGTTGCATCAGCGGGACGTGGTACGCCAAGGACCCAAGGACCCAAGGAAGAGGAGGAGGAGGAGGAGGAGGAGGAGGAGGACGTAGAGAAGGAGGAGGAGGAGGAGGAGAAAAAGGAGGTCGGAGGAGGAGGTCTGAGGAAGAGAAGGAGGAGCCGCAGGAGACAATGGATGAGGCAGCAGGACGAGGTCGAGGGTGGACGGGGGGACCCCGAGAGCCGACTCGCAGAGAACACATCGAGATGTCGTGGGCGGCATCGAGCCCCCGACCTCCTCTCCCTGCATTTTTCTCCAGCCGCAGCGATCCGCGATGGCCCCGGCGCCCGAAACGGGGCGACAACGCCCGGCGTGAACAACATGCAACGCCCTTTCTGGTCTCAGAGCTCGCCTCTCCGGCGGCCGCTCGGGAAGGCTGGGGCCCCCCACCCTCCTCCTCCTCCTCCTCCTCCTCCTCCTCCTCCTCCTCCTCCTCCTCCTCCTCCTCCTCCTCCTTGGGTCCTCCTTCGCACGCACGCCAGCGGCGAGGCGCAGCTGCTGGGAGGCACCCCGAGGTGGGCAAAGCGCCAAGAGCGAGCGGGAGCGTGCGAGACCCCAGCTTGGCGGCGCGCAGAGGGGGGCAGGGGGAGGGGGGAAGGCTTCTTAGCAGAAGGCCGCTTCTTAGAAGGCGCGGGCCTTACATCTACAGAGAAAGCCCGCACCTTCTAAGAAGCAGGGGTGCTTCTAAGAAGCCTTCCACCCTCCCCTACCCCCCTCTGCGCGTGGCTGACCACTGCCCCCTGAGCCCATTCCCCCCCGACGTTGTCCCTGACAACGAGCTTGCCTGGAGCAGCGGGCGAGGAGCAGGACGGGGAACCCAGACCCCCGACGTCACGATGTTTCCATGACGTCGACCTCCAGAGGTCTCGACCCCTTCCCCGGGACTGGTCTCTCGTCCTGAGTCGTTCTTGTTGACGGCCCCGAGGCCCGGTGAGGGCCCCCCGAGGCCGCAAATAGCGAAGAACCTCCCGTCGTGATTTTTTCATGACCTGAGGGGGGTCTGGGAACGGAGCTCCGGGGCCCCGCCCGCAGCGCCTGACGCAGGCCGCCCACGCGAGCAGGCTCTGGAATCGCTGTGCGGGCTTGGTGGCCCCCACCGTCACGAGCGGGAGTGCGCCCTCGAGCACGGCTCCTGGGGGCGCGGAACGGCTGCCACCGGGCGTGAGGAGAAGGACGAGGAGGAGGAGGAGGAGGAGGAGGAGGAGGAGGAGGAAGAGGACGAGGCGGAGGAGGAGGAAGAGGACGAGGAGGAGGATGAGGAGGAGGAGGAGGAGGAGGAGGAGGAGGAGGAGGAGTGCGATAACCGAGGCGGCAGGAGGCCGATGACAACGGGGGAGGGCGGCGACGACGAAGGGGAGGGCGACGACGAGGGGGAGGGCGACGACGAGGGGGAGGGCGACGAGGGGAGGAGGACGACTAGGAGGGCAACGATTCCGCCACCCGTGGCTCGTTTTTGTATTTGGGGAGCCTCCTGGGAAAGCCTCGTCGCCACGGCCGCCTTCGCCCCGAGACTCCGGCCAGCCAGCACCCCAGGAGAAGTCTGGGAGGAGGAGGAAGAGGAGGGGAGGAGGGAGGAGGGGGAGGGAGGAGGAGGAGGAGGAGGAGGAGGAGGAAGAGGAGGAGGAGGAGGAGGAGGAAGAGGAGGAGGAGGGAGGAGGAGGAAGAGGAGGAGGAAGAGGAGGAGGAGGAGGAGGAGGAGGAAGAGGAGGTTGAGGTTGCCCACCCCCATCCCTCTCCGCCCGCTCCTCCGTCCTCCGCGCCTTCCGCGCCGTCCTTTGTGCTCCTGCGGTTCCTCCTCCTCGTCCCCCTCCTCAGCCTTGTTTGCCCTAGAGCCAGGATGACGAGGAGGCAAAGGACGAGGACAACGAGGAGGGCGACGACGAGAGGGGGAACGGCGACGACCATGGGGGAGGGCGAGCACAAGGAGGATGAGGAGGAGGACGACGACGACCAGGACGCCGACGACAATGAGGGGAGAGCCAGAGGAATAGGAGGAGGAGGAGGAGAAGGAGGAGAAGGAGGAAGATGAGGAGGAACGCCGCGGGGGCACAGCGAGAGTCTGGACCATCGGCAGCTTGGACCATCGGCAGCCCGGAGAGCACAGCGCGGGCGCGGCCTTGCGCAGCGCGTCGGGCAAAGCCTGGGTCCTGCTTCCCCGCCCTGCGGCAACTGCTGAATGCACTGAACATGATGTCACAAGCAAGTGTACAGGCATGCGTGTACCCAGACGCTCTGGCACAGAAGTGAAAGGAGGCCCGAAGATGCGGCAAGAAACAGAAGGAGGGCCCAATATCCCCATGTGGGCGGGAGAGGTGCAACATGCTCACGAGGCACGGGCACTATCACAGGGCTTTGGAAGCGCCGAATGCTGTCAGCGCCCAGATTGGCACATCCGAAACGCACAGGCACAGGCAGGCTGCCGAAATCGTCTTGAGGTCGGCCAAGCGTTGGGCACGGCCGATGACCAGGCGGGGACCTCTGGCGTGGGACAGCTGCGCGGTGGAGCCAAACGCGGGACTGCGCGACGGAGGCTCCACCCGTCCCTTGACGCCCTCGGTGGCAGACGCGACGGCGGCGCAGGGGGCCCCAGAAGTCCGCCGGGTCCTCGAACTCTGCAAAACCAGAGCGGCCGGCAGCTCTCCGCCTGAGCCGGAGGCCGCCCGTCTGGGTTGGAGGTCGGTCGACAGCGGCATGGACGTCCAAGGCTGCGGCGAGCGCACGAGGGCCACCCCCCAGGCTCCGCAGTCTGGTTCGGCCTGCTGGTGATCTGGCCAGAGTTGCGCAACAAGTTGCCGCTCGCCATCACGAGTCTCAAGAGCTGGCAGCAGCTGGCGGGCGCGAGCGAGGGTGGCCCGCATACTGAGGAGGCCGTCTACGCCATCGCAAGCTACATGTTCGAGACGGGCCATCACGTCGAGGGGGTCTGGACTCACGCAGTGCGATGCCTACGGCCGCGAGCAAGACATGGAGATGTTGGAGGTGGCGGAAGCCGTCCGGGACGGCCAACGCCTGGCCCTGGCGCTTGGCCTCGGCGCCTCCTCCCGCGGCGAGGAGGTCAAGGCAGGCGCCAGCGAGAGCCAACTGTCGTGCGTCGCGGGGGTGGTCGCGGACCCAGTGATGGGCCTGCGCGACTTCCGGTAAACGAGCGCGTTCCACTTCTCGCAAAGTAGCTACTCGCAAATGGACTGGATCCACCGCGGGGAACATCCGCATAGAAAGACATGTGTTGCCTTCGGACGTTTGCGAGTAGGCACTCTGCGAGTAGCGGAACGCGCTGGGTGATCCTGGCAGGCCAGGGCAAGAAGCTGCTCGGCATCAGCCAAGTGTTGTTCGGGAAACTCTGGCACCAGGCATGCCGCGCGCTTGGCATGCCGTGGGCTCCCCCGCCGCACGGGGTCCGCCGCTCGGGTCCCAGCGAAGACGTGGCCCGCGGCAGACCGACGCTCGAGCAGGTAAGGCGCCGCGGGGAGTGGGAGGCCCCGTCGGGCGTGCAGCGCTACTCGAAGACCTTCGCCCTCACGCAGTTTCGCTCCAAGATGCCTGAGACAGTCCTCAAGGCCAGGACAGCGGCGACGCACGACCTGATGACTGAGATACGTCGGGCTCTTCGATGCTGCCCGTGGCAGGCGGGGAGTCTGCCAAAGGCGCAGGAGATGGCAGTGATGACGGGACCTGCACGTGGCGTCGCCGCCGAGCTGTTGAAGCTGACGGCCCCGAAGGCGGTAGGCAAGCAGCGTCAGGAAAAGCGGAGCGAGGACAAGGACAGCCGCGGCCTCTGTTCGGGCGAGACACTCGGCGAGGAAACTGGCTGCTGAACAGAGTGAGGTGCTGGCAGTGTGGACGACGCAACGAGCCCTGAAAATGACGAACCCTTGCTTGCATGCTTACATACGCGACCACCCTTAGGGTGATAAGGCGGTTGTGTGTGGGGGGGGGAGAGGGGGGGGAACCAACATCTGACTCAATCGCTCTCACTATCGATCTCACTCAACAGGACACCACGAGACACCACGGGACACCACGGACAGCACGGGACACTTGTCGATCTCACTATCGATCTCACGATCGATCTCACTCAAAGGGACACCACGGGACACCACGGGCCACCACGGGACACCACGGGACACCGCGAGACACCTCTCGATCTCACTATCGGTCTCACTATCGATCTCACTCAACGGGACACCATAGGACACCACGGGACACCTCGGGACACCACGGGAGACCTCGGGAAACCACATCGATCTCACTATCGATCTCACTATCGATCTCACTCAACAGGACACCACGGGACACCACGGGACACCTCTCGATCTCACTATCGGTCTCACTATCGATCTTACTCAACGGGAACCCACGGGACACCACGGGACATCTCGGGGCACCACATCGATCTCAATATCGATCTCACTATCGATCTCACTCAACGGGGCACCACGGTACACCACGGGACACCTGTCGATCTCACTATCGATCTCACTTTTTGGGACACCACGGGCTACCACGGGACACCTCGGGGCACCACATCGATCTCAGCATCGCTCTCAATATCGATCTCAGTATCGATGTCACTATCGATCTTACTCAACGGGACATCACGGGACACCACGGGACACCGCGGGACATTGAGGGCCACCGCCGGACGGACGGATGGCGGAGAAACGTTTCTCTTGACCTCGACCTAGCAACGGCAGACACCACGGGACACCACGGGACACCGCGGGATACCGCTCAAGCTATCGCCAGACGGTTGGACGGAGGAGAAACATTTGTCTTGACTTCGCCCAAGCAACGGCGGACACCACGGGACACCACGGGACACCGCGGGACACCGCGAGGGCCAGCGCCGGACGGACGAACGGAGGAGAAACAGTTGTCTTGACTACGCCCTAGCAGCGGCGGGTCTATTCCTCTCGCGCGCCCACGCAGCTTCGCCTCGCCTCGCCCGCACGCACGCACGAACGAAACGAAACGATTTCCCTGTTGGAGGTCTCCGTTCCACTGCGATCTCACCCCACCTCCGACCCTCCTGCCTCGCGGGCCCCCTCCAATACGCGGGCCCATCTTGGGAGCACGCAAGACAATTCCGTGCTCGGGGCGGGCCCGCTGGGGCCGCCCGGGCTGCCAGGGCCTGCGTCTGAGTGGCAGTCGCTTGGAAAGACGGGGGGCGCCCCCGTGTGGGTGGCTGGGGGGTGCCATACGAGGGCCCCCTACAGGCGGTGGCTTACGGGCGCGACCGCCACCCCTCCTGAGCTCACGCCATATTGGCCCTCGACATCTTCAGCGCCAGGGAGCTGGAGTTTACCAAGTAATCTTGTTGTGCTACTGAGTGGTGCTATTGATGATGGTGGTTGCCACTGCTTCTAGCCGAGCCCTGCCCGACAGCGACAACCATCTTCGGCGTTGAAAAGCATATGGTGCGGGTTTGGGAAGGTGACGATCGTGACAACGTCTCCTGGTCAGAATTTGATGCAATGACGCTCAGCGCCTGGAATTCTCACGCCCGTTGATGTGTGGTGTGGCAGCCAAGACGCACCTTTGATTATACTGGGCCCGCAGGGCCCTCGTATCGCACTGCAGAAGGACAATCTGTGCCGGTCATCTTCTGAGCTTGGCCAGGCCTCATATTTCCCAGCCGTCCTGTGGTGTTGGGTCATCGTTTTTGAAGAGACAGTCCCTGCGTCTCCTCTCCTCCTCTCCAGCTTCTCCTCCTCCTCATCCCCCTCCTCCATCCTCCTGTCACCCCCCTCACCTTGGCACACCCCTCACACGTTTCGTGGCCCCATAGGGAGCTCCACCGAAGGCCCGAGTGACATGGTTCGCATGCCGACCTCCCTCTATTTTGGCACACCCATCACACGCTTCGTGGACCCATAGGGAGCTCCGCCGAAGGCCACAGTGGCGTGGTTCGCATGCCGCACACCGCACAATTCCGTACACCCCTCACACGTTTCGTGGACCCATAGGAAGCTCCACCGAAGCCACCCCCAGTGGCATGGTTCGTATGCTAGCCCCCCCCCTCTATTTTGGCACACACACACACACCTCACACGTTCCGTGGCCCCATAGGGAGCTCCACCGAAAGCTCCAGTGGCATGGTTCGCATGCCGCCCCCGCTCCACTTTGGCATACCATTCGCACGTTTCGTGGCCCCATAGGGAGCTCCACCGAAAGCTTCAACGGCATGGTTCGCATGCCCCCCCTTCACTTTGGCTCACCCCGCCCCATAGGGCGCTCCACCGAAGGCCCCAGCGGCAGCGCCCGCATGACGACCTCGCCCCATTGCGGCGCGCCCTTCGAGCGCTTCGTGCCCATAGAGAGCTCCACCGAAGGCAGTTCTCACAAAGGCGGTATTCACAACTGCATCTGGTTGGGTCCTTCGTCAGGACAATTTACATGCACTCGTGCTTGTCCAGGTGGATGCACATATGACAGCAATTGGAAGCACCTTGTATTGTCATACCGTTTATCCCCCAAATGGGCACAACCCACTGCGACAAGTCGCACACTTCACAGCGGCGTTGCCAAGACACCAGCATATACCAGCCACGCAATTCTGAATTTAGGAGGCCACATACCTCGATCATGTACCACTCCCGACCTTTGAGAGCCTTGAAAGTTGTTTCGTCGAGCTCGGGATTAGATTGGAAGGTGGAGCCAGGATGCGATTCCAAATTGTCTGGCCTTCAAAGGGCTGAATGGCATCGGACTCGTCGCCCTTTATCAGTGGCAGCTCTCATGACTAGAAAAGCGATCTTCGCTTCCTTCGTCAACACCCTAGGCTGGGCAAGCCCCCGTTCGCGGTAGCGGCGTGAGCCTCTATGTATTCACGAGACACGATTCCAAATGTTAGAGGGCTTGCAGTGGGACATGTGTCGTACAACGAAGCCCGTTACGATCCTGGTGATCTCGGCCTTTGGCTGCCAGATCGTAATGGAATGCAGGTTGAGCTCACGCTTGCAGATGTAGCCAGTGCCGGTGCTTCCATATCATGAGGTCGTCTCAGCGATGGAGCAGTCAGCTTTGGCACTGGTCCGTAGCATTCACCCTCTCCCCTTTGACGTATACATGCTGGCGACAACGGAAGGCCTGACGACATCTGGCTGGTAACTGATCGATCGTTCGGTCCTAAAGCCTCGTAGCTGCGTTGCCAATCTGTGAAGGGGGGTATGGGGGACGTCGGGTGCTGCGACTGCTCCTTACTTTCCGCTAGACTAGCGCCCTGCTCGCGCCAGCTCGCGGTCACTCTAAGAACCCAAGCGGCGGCGGCAAGGACGTGTTCAGTCGGCAGCGCCTGCGATCGCGGGCGCGTCTGTGCGAAGGCCGGCGGGCTGCGCCGTGCACGGAGCGCGCCAGGGCGGGCGGAAGAGCAAGGGAGGGCTGCGGAGGCGCAGCCCGGAGCTCGGAGCTCGGAAATCAAGTCCGCGAAACGGCGCCAGAAGGCCCCGTTGCCCGGGGGTGTGCGCTGCGCTGAAGACGCCATGCAGACCTTTGGACGCCCGAAGTGGGTACGGAAAGAGTGGGTGCAATGCCCAACAACAAAGGTTGTCCCAAACCCAAAAAGCGGCCGCTGCTGGGCAGGCGGCCTCCTGTCTCGAACGGACACGGGCCGCGGCGGCGTGACAACGAGTCCTGCTCAAAAGGAACCAGATCCGCTGTTGGGCATGGTGCCCATGCTGTCCGTGCCCATGTCGTTCGCGCAGAAGGCCCCGCGGAGGCGGACGGGGCAGGGGGCGGGGCCCGGCCGTGGAGACGCGAGGGAGGAAGCGGCGTGGAGTGGAGGGGCGGAGCCGCAGGGGCGGTGCGTGCGGCGCTGCCTCGAGCAGCCTGCGGAGGTCAGTCTGAGTGAGCTGCGCACGTCGCGTCGCTTGCCGTCGCTCGGACGTCCATTTCCCGTGCATGTTTCGGTTTCGTGCGTGTTTTGTTTTGCTCGATGGTCCAGGATGGCCCTCGATGGTTCTCGCCGACAAGAACATGCACACGTCCGAGCGATGCCAAGGTCGTTGCACACCCAGGGCAGCACAGGCGGCCGCGGGACAGCGGGCTTGCAGCAGGGCCTCCCGGACTCCGCAGCCGCGTTCGGCCTCAGAGGCCCCGCGGGGGGGCGCGCCGGCAGCACGCACGCACTGCCCACGCGCGGAGTCCAGGAGGAAGCCCCTGGGAGCGGTCAGGCGAGCCGGTGGCTCCATATGGGGGGGGCGCCGCTCGGGCCGGCATCGCGGCGACGGTCCCCGCCCCTGCCTCGGTCCGCACCGGAGCCCCCCTGCCCTCACCTCCGTCTCCCTCCCTGCTTCGCCTGGCCCCTGCACTCTTCCTCGTGCTGCATCTTCGGGGGACCTCGTCTGTCCCCCCGTCGCACCCCCGATTGTTCGCGTCGAACCCACGTCGAATCCGCGCCGAATCCACGCCAGTCCGCGTCGAGTCCGCATCGAGCCCGCGACGGGCACAAGAAAAGACACCCATTTGGGGGACAGACGATGTCTCTCGAAGCTTCAATGTTCAACGCAACCCTCCTGCCCCTCGGCCTCTGATGCCCACGCTGCGGAATCGGCCAGGCAGGCCAGGTCTCAGCGCGGAGGAGACGGTCCTGGAGGAGAGGGGGCCCTGGAAGGCTCTCGCCTCTGTAGAGGGCCCCTGGGCTCCTCCACGCCTCCTCGGCCGAACAGCAACCCAGCGCCTCTCCTTCATAGCGAGGTCAGGTGGGCCTGCCCAGCAGCAGCATTTGGCGGCGCGCAAAAGGGGGCAGGGGGAGGGGGGAAGGCTTCTTAGAAGCACCCTGCTTCTTAGCAGGCCTCGGCCTTACGTCTATAGAGAAGGCCCGCGCCTTCTAAGAAGCAGGGGTGCTTTTAAGAAGCCTTCCCCCCTCCCCCTGCCCCCCTCTTCGCGTTGCCGAAGCATGCCTGCTTCCCTGCTCCCAGAGAGGTGCAGAAGCACGGAGGGATGCGCAAGCTCGCTCCTGACCCCGGCATGGGCGCCTCGCCTGCCAGCTGCGCGATGCCGACGAGCGCGGAGACCGCTGCGAGCTTCACGGGATCCGTCGCCTTCTTGTCCGAGAGCGGCTTGAGCAGCACCTTCGGGGGCAGCCAACGGGCCCCACTGCCGCTACCTCCTCCTCCTCCTCCTCCTCCTCCTCCTCTTCCCTCCTCCCTCCTCCCTCCCTCCCTCCCTCCCTCCTCCCTCCTCCCTCCTCCCTCCTCCCTCCGCCGTTCGTGACGGAGGCTGCGGGCGCGGACCGCTACCTCACGGACCTCTTCCAGGGTGCGCCTCGACCAGAGCTCCCAGGCGAACCCCTCCGTCCGACGAAGGGCTCCCAGCAGGCCCCGAGCAGGCGAGCACGCGGCAAGGGCGACGGTGCGGGTCGGCACCCAGAGGAACAAACCCAGACCCCCGACGTCATGATATTTTCATGGCGTCGACCCCCAAAGGTCTCGAGCCCTTCCCCGGGACCGGTTTCTCATCCTGATTATTGTTTTGACGGTCCCGAGGACCAGTAAGAGCCCCCAGAGGTTGAAAATACAGCAAAACCTTCCGTTCAGATTTTTCCATGACTCGAGGGGGTCTGGGAAACACAATCACATAAACATGAATTAACTCTCGGAACCCGCGCGGCCTTCTCGGATCGGCGCCAGTGCCGATCCGAGACATCTACGAGGAGCGTTAGGTCGGGCATGTCCTCCTACAGGCGGATTTTGGAGGAGAAATCAGAGAACATTCCAGACAGATTCAAAACGATGGGATACTAATTGACAAATCGTCCCTGGGCTACTTTTGACTGTTTTTGAACCCTCCTCCTGTAGAGGGCCAGGCCCGACGAAAGCGGAGCGCCGAAACTCTGTGCTCGTGGGCGAGGCCCGTCGTGGCGACGAGGGCCCCCCCGAGCGGGCCCGAGCAGGCGAGCACGAGGCTTAAGGGCAGCGGCGCGTACACCCAGACCTGCGCTGCCCTGATGTTTTCAGCACGGGGCCCCTAGAAGTCCCGAGCCCGAGAAGGCGAACACGAGGCAAAGGGCAGCGGCGCGTGCCCAGAAATGCGCTGCCCTGATGTTTTTCGGCACGGGGCCCCTGGGCTTGCCATCGCTCGGACGTCCATTTCCCGTGCATGTTTCGGTTTCGTGCGTGTTTTTTTTGCTCGATGGTCCAGGATGGTCCTCGATGGTTCTCGCCGAGAATACATTGCACACGTCCGAGCGATGCCAGTCCAGGTAGGAGTCCCGACCATGTCCCTGGGACCGACGGGACCGACTCTTCATCCCGTCGCGACTGTTGTGCGACGCATGCACGCCTGGATGCGCATCGGCGCCTCTCCGTAGCATTTGGGGAACTGGGTGGGTCCTGAGGGAAACGGGTCCTGGACCCGGGTGCCTGCCCCCAGGACGAGCTTTTCACCCTGGATCGTCTTCTGACCTTAAAGGGGCTCCAGAAACGGCAGGGCCGTTTTTTCACCGTTTCCGAAAAAATGTCCCTTGAAAATGGAAACGGTAAAAAAACGGCGACCTGAACCGGCAACAAAAAAGGCTCCTGGATTGGAGCCGGAGCGGGAACCCGTAAAAGAACGGCGACGGAACCGGTAACAAAAACGGCGTCGGAACCGGCAGAAAACGGAACCGGTAACAAAACGGCCCTGTCGTTTCCAGGGCTCACTAAGCTTCTGGCAGCTTCTCATCCCAGATTCCCCGCGGAGGGCCCCCCAGAACCCGGCAAAAGCGAAACACCTCCGGACCCGCCTCCTCCATGGCGAGCCTCCTCCTCCTCCTCCTCCTCCTCCTCCTCCTCCTCCTCCTCCTCCTCCTCCTCCCTCTCCCCATGCCGCACCTTCACGGCCGCCTCCCTCTCCGCCGCCGGGAGCTGCGACGCCAGCGAGCCCACCGCTCGGTAGCCGAGCCCGCGGGTCTCCTCGTTCGCGTCTTCCCCGGCGCACTTCACCAGGGCGCCCTTCGAGCACAGGGAGGTCGGGGGGGGGGGGGAAGGGGTTCTCATCGGGGGTTGCCAAAGGTGCCCCTGGCCCAAGGTGGTGCCCCCCGCTTTTCCTTCTCCATTCTGGGGCCTCGTGAGGGGGGGTGCTCTGGAGGCCGTTGGGGGCCTCCTTGGAGATACTGGGGGCACATAGGGCCAGTGGCACTCCTGGCAGTTCCCGATATCAGAAGGAGGCTGCTGGTCAGAAGGCGCAGGCCCTACATCCATAGACAAGGCCCGCGCCTCGTAAGAAGCAGGGGTGCTTCGTCCCTTTTCCCGTCAGCTCTCACGGGCAACACTTCTGAACGGTCTGGTGGGGATGCGCGAAGCTCGATACGGACACTCTCGCCCACACCAGGGCTGCACATCTGGACCAAATTCCTGCATCGTCCTCGTCGTCGTCGTCGTCGTCGTCGTCGTCGTCGTCGTCGTCGTCGGAGGAGGAGGAGGAGGAGGAGGAGGAGGAGGAGGAGGAGGAGGAGGAGGAGGAGGAGGAGGAGGAGGAGGAGGAGGTCGGAGGAGGAGGAGGAGGAGGTCGGAGGTCGGAGGAGGAGGAGGAGGAAAACCCCCTTTCCCCCCCAGCCCCCTCTGCGCGTGGCCCGCCTTCGCGTCGAGCACCCGCCGCACCACCTCGGCCGCGTCGCCCGCGCACGCGCCCGGGGCCAGCCCGTCGGCGAGCGTGGCCGTGGCGAGCAGGATGGCCTGCTTGTCGTCCACCTTGCCCGCCTCGGGGGGGGCGCCTGTTTTCCATCACCACCACCAAAAGTTGGAGGGGGAGGGGGTCCTCCTCCTCTCCTCCTCCTCCTCCTCCTCCTCCTCCTCCTCCTCCTCCTCCTCCTTCTCCTCCTCCTCCTCCCCCTCCTCGCTCTCCTCCCTCTCCTCCTCGTCCCCCTCCTCCTGCCCCTCTCCAACTTATGGTGGTGGTGGTGGTGGCAAACAGGCCCAGCAGCGCAGAAGTCAGGGAACAAAGCATGTCGCCGTGGGGGAAGCCGGTCCTGACGGAAACTGGTCGTGAGGTTTTTCGTCGCTTTCGGGCTCCAGGGGCCCTCCACGGGCCCCAGAACTGTCGGGGATCGACTCGGGATGAAGAACTGATGGTCCTGGGGGGAGGCCCTAGGCTCCAGGACCCGTTTCCTTCAGGACCCGTTCCCCCCATGCTGAGAAAGGCATGATCATGGACTGGCGGAGGCCCGCGCCGATGTCTCGGATCGGCGCCTGACCCTCCTCTGGCGCGCTGCGCGCGCCATGGATGGAGGCGCAGCGCCGATCCGAGAAAACCTCGCGGACCTCCGAGAGCTCATGCTTATGCCATGACTGGTTCCCCGAAGGAGGGCACACTTGTGCGAGATGACGGTTTGTAAAAGAATG